CCGTGGGGATGGTGCTGAGCACATCTCATCTCTCTCTCTAGGAGATGTCCACGTCGGCGTGGCTGACCGCAACGGGCAGCTGGAGGTGGACGTGATCCAGGCGAGGGGACTTATCCCAAAAATGGGCTCTAAGTCCATCCCAGGTCGGTGTTTGGGGAGGGAGGAGTTTGGGGACGGGACCATCGTAGGAACCTGCTCTGAGTGGGCATTTCTCCCCCGTTTTCCATCGCAGCCACCTACGTGAAGGTTTACCTGCTGGAGAACGGCGTCTGCCTGGCCAAGAAGAAGACCAAGGTGGTGAAGAAAACCTGCGACCCCTCCTTCCAGCAGCCGCTGCTCTTCGAGGAGAGCCCCCAGGGCAAAGTCCTGCAGGTGATGCAGCGTGCCCCACACAGATTTGGGGACAGGGAGGGATGAGGGGAATGAGGATGGGGCACGTAAACCAGAGCCTCCCCACCTCAGTTGTGGCAGGTCCTTTCTGGCCGAGAACCCCAAATTTTGATGGCTTTCCCCCAAAACTCCCACCCAGTGACCAGAGCAGCTCCCCTGACGCCTTCTCTGCCCCGCAGGTGATCGTCTGGGGAGATTACGGCCGCATGGACCACAAGTGCTTCATGGGGATGGCCCAGATCGTCCTGGAGGAGCTGGACCTCTCCAGCGCAGTCACGGGCTGGTACAAACTCTTCCCCACCTCCTCGCTGGCCGACTCCAGCATCGGGCCCCTGACGCGCCGCCTGTCCCAGTCCTCCCTGGAGAGCTCCACCAGCCCCTCCTGCCCGTAGGGAGGACGGGGAGAGAGGTCCTGACCTACCAAAACTGATAGTGGATAGCTGTAAATATCCTGTCCTTTTCCTTTTATTTTTTTTTCCCCCCTTTATTTTCCTGTTAAAACCCTCCTTCCCGACACAAACCCGCCCTCCCCGAGCAGGCGTCCCGGCACGCAGAGGGGGACGGCGGAGAGGGTGCGAGAGGGCTGTGGGGTTTGAAGTAAAAAGGGAAGAAGCAGCAGCAAAAAAACCAAACCAACAAACCCCCAAACAACCCAAACCCGCCCCTGGTGACGCAGAGCGAGGGCCGCGACTGCCGCCCCATCCCGCGACTGTTACCGCACCTCGTCCCGGCCCGAGGCCCCGCTCGTCTCCTGCCCCCACGGGTGAGAGCAGCTGGGGCCGGCTCACAGCAGCAGCACGGCGACGAGGTTTCTTCTTATTCCTTCGACTGCGTTTCCCTGCCGCTGAGGAAAAGGTAGCTTCTCTCAAAGAAAAGAAACAAAACCTCAAAGGAAAAAAAACCCAACTCAGCGCTATTTTTTTTCCCCGGTTGTTTCTTTTTCTCCGAGGAATGTAGCATCTTCTCTTATGTAGCTTGCCACGTGCTGACAACACTCACTCTGCAATATCTTAGAGACTCTGGGTTGACCCGACACATCTGCCAGTCACTTCCCGTTTGTTCGTTTTTCCGACACAAACCCTGCGACACCGAGCGAGCACTTCTGGGGGGGGGCCATTTTCCTTTTAATTTTATCATCATCATTATTATTATTATGAATTAATTTTTGTCGGTAGCATGTAGCCTGCGACCAGTGACATTGCCAAAGCAAGAGAGAACAGGACAAGGTGCGCTCGCCTCGCCCCGAGCACACGCTGGTCTTACCCTCGTGTTTCACCACCGACCGTGGTCTTGTACGGCCAAAGACAAGACCCAAAATATGAACTCTGTGATGCCTCACGGGAGAATTTGAGTCAAGAAGAGGCGAGCCGATGGAGCAGGAGCACCGTGATGCTGGGCCATCGTCCCTCGAGGACCAGCTCCAGGTCTGGGATGCTCTCATGGAGACTGGGATGCTCTCCCAGGGTCCAAGATGCTCTCTGAGGGTCCGAGAGCTCCACCAGTGTTCTGGGATGCTCTCATGGGGCCTAGGATGCTCTCTGAGGGTCCAGGATGCTCTTATGGGGCTTGGGATGCTCTCCCAGGGTCCAGGATGCTCTCCTGTGATCTGGGATGCTCTCATGGGGCCTAGGATGCTCTCTGAGGGTCCAGGATGCTCTCTTGAGGTCCAAGATGCTCTCCAGGGGTCCAGGATGCTCTCTTGAGGTCCAAGATGCTCTCATGTGGTCCGGGTCCAGGATGCTCTCTTGAAGATGCTCTCTGAGGGTCCAGGATGCTCTCCTGTGATCTGGGATGCTCTCTGAGGGTCCAGGATGCTCTTATGGGGCTTGGGATGCTCTCCCAGGGTCCAAGATGCTCTCCTGTGATCCAGGATGTTCTCTTGGGGTCCAGGATGCTCTCTGAAGGTCTGAGATGCTCTCCTGGATACTTGAATTTCAAGCAGGAGCAGAGGATTTGCCCGACCCCGCACCTTTCTCCAACTCTCCACTTGTTGGTACGCTACAGGGGAACATCTCAACAGCATCTTGTGCTGATCTGGAATTGGGGTGGCCGAGAGGTTCCAAACCAAGGACCGCACGCTTTGACTTTATTATCAGGATGAGTGTTTTGGGTTTCTTTCGTTTGTGTGTTTTGTTCGTTTGTTTTTAAAGCAGCATTTTGGTTCCCCCTGAGGGACCGGTTCTTGTAGCAAACCCGAGAATTACGGAAGCTTTTATTTTTATTTTTTTTTGAAGGTGCCTAATGAAAATTTGCTGAAAATACTCAGGGGAGACACCACTAGAAACTCTGGTTTCTTCATAAAATATCCTAAACACAATGACTGTCCTGAAGGATCAGTTTCCAAAAGAGAGAAACAACAAAAAAAAACCACAAACCACACCAAAAGAGGAGCAGTCTCAAGACTGGAAGAGGACGAAAGGTTAACGGGGGATTTTTACCAACCAGATGGCTCTGACCTTCAGTCTTTAACACCAGTGAACCCGCAGCACAGCTGGGATTTTTTTACAGTTATTTCTTGGCAAAGCAGAGAATTTCACAATGCACAGAGCACAACAAAAACCGACCCGTGGCTCTCCTGGTGACGCCAGGAACGAAGCTGCGACCGCAGCCGAACAGACCCAAAGCTGCAGGACCAGCTGCGACCCCGCCGTCCCCTCCACGCACCCCAAAAACGGGGCTCAGCAAAACCCCGCTGCTTTGCCCGACACGCAACAAGGAATTTCAGCTGCTATCATGGACTTCGGATACTTAACAAGTCAAAAATCGCTGTAGACCTCTGAGAAAAGTGGGGTGGATGCTGCCAATTTGGGGATGGAGAGGGGTTTGCTTCAGGACCCCAGTGCCTGTCTGGTAGAGGATTAAATCCTCATCTGTACAGGGATGTGCAGGGTCACAGGATGCACCAGCAGCCTCGAGCGGTTTGAGGAAGCCAACTCGGTGCCCTGGCTACTGAAACGGGAACAAACAACGGCTTGAACACGACGTTCCTTCCAGAGCACGAATTTATAGGAGGGCAACAACGCCTGGATGAGGCTGAACTCGCTCTGCCCCGGCCTGCTGGATTTTGTAATGTACACAAGGGAAGGCATCTTGAGAGGAAAAGCTTTCTGCTCCTTCAAGCTGACGTTATTTGCTTTACCGACTCTATTTGGACAGAAAAATGGGAAATCTGCCTGCGGTGGGACAGTAACCACGTACACGGGGAAGGGGAACAGCGGAGTGGGCAGAGTGGGGAGCTTTGCGGGTGTTTTTGGTTGTAGCATCTCAGCCCTTCCCCTCCCAGCACTGAGATCTGGCTGGAAACTTCTCCCATGGCTGCACAGAGCGTTACTGCTCCCCTCTTTGTGAGGGACACAACAGTTTTGTCGAGGTAGAGAACAGAGCAGTGAGGAGCAGCGGGGACACGGGGACAGCCGGGCACGCACCCACAGCAGCGGATGCCCGAGGTCTCACTGGTTCTGCACCAGTCAGAAAGCTGCCCTTAACGACACGTGGAAAACACAGAGAAAAGAAATAGCATCTGCAAGGCACAGCAGGGAACACAGAAAACCCAAATACTTGGGCTTATTTTTGCTCATCGATGGGCTGAGGATGCACTGGAGGATAACGGCGCAGCTCGCACCAGAACAAACCACATCCCAGTTCGCTCCGTGGCGCGTTCCCGTTCGCTGCATCGCAATGGGTTTGTGGGAACGACAACTCCTGCTCATAAAGACATCAACGAGGTGGAGCCAGGGACTTCAGATGATCATCGCCTCTCCCTAGATGAGCTGGGACCCATCTAAACCGGACCCGCTTCATTACCAGCTCTACATGTCCTACCCCTCAGGGAGCTGCTGTTTGTTCCTCTGGGGAAGCATCGGGGTCAGGACCCACCTCACGCTGCTGTGGAGAAACTAAACCAGGAGCGGAGCCCGAAATGGGCCACGTTCACACTGCAACAGCAGCTGCTCCTCACTCCCGAATCCGTGAGACCACGCCAGGTTTCTCCCTCCTGGAACAAGAACAAAACACCAGGACCCGCAGTTGATTTCTACACACACCACCACAAGCTGCTGGACTCCAGGTTTTTTTTCTGGGGGATGTTTTATCGCAAAGGGCGTTTTTTAACGTGCTATATGGTTTGCAAAAGGTGGCTGCGCTGACTAGGTGTTACTTAGATTACTGCCTCCCTTTCCTTCTCCTTCCGTCAGGAAAGGAAATTCAAACCGTTCAACTTTTCCAGGTATTTTCCCCTAGAATGAACTATCAATATTAAACTGAATCAGCTTTGCAGCCCGTTTCATACCCAGCACTCCCAGCAGTGAGCAGCACCCACCTGAGACACAGGAGACCTTACCATAGCAGAGCTGGGGTCAGAATCAAGGCACCCTACTTGGTGACAAAGATGGATTTTGCCAAAATAGCCTTGAAATGATACCTAAACACCCCCGAAACCCTAGGAAAGATTTAAAAAGTCTCAACCATGCAGCAAAGCACAGAGAACACCCCATAATTTCATACCCTGAGTTATCTACAAGCCTGGAATGGGCTTAATTTGCCAAAATTGAGTGGAAAACGGTCTAGGGCAGCAGAAGGTGGGCCAGGCTTTTGGGCTTAGCCAGAAACGAGCTCCTGCTTCCTCAGCATCACAGCACGTTGAGGCATGGGGACAGGATGCTTAGACCCAAGTTTCCCTGAACGCAAGCGAGCTCCAGAACCAATTTCCTGGCCAGCAATCGGAAACCTAAACCATTACATGGCTTTGGGAAATGCCACCGGGCAGCCGAGACGGTGGGAAGGGTCCCCTCCATGGCCACTTTTCCAGCTCTTAAAGCCTTTTCTCCAAGAGCACTCACGGGTGCAGCTCTCGATGGCAAACACGAGACCCGGAATGCCCGCAGGAGGGGGATCGGGGTTCCCTTTGCTGACAGGGAATCGCTTCTGTATAAAACCAACTGCGAGATGAGGCTCGAGAAGTCAAAGCCTTCATTCGCACGTGTGTGCGCACATCGCGCATGTGCGAGGAGCTCACGCATTTAATACCTTTGCTTGTTGAAGTGGGTTTGCAAACACTCAGCAGCAGCAGCAGCGAGTGCAGTTTGAGGGTCTTAACCCAGTTAAGGCCGTTTCTAAACACGGTGATGGTTTTCCAGGCGTAAGGAGCCTACCTTCTCTTTTCTTCCAGTTGACTCAGACGCTTCTTCCCAGATTGACGTGGAACGCTTGGACAATGCACATCTGCACAGCTCCTGAGGGCTGTGCATCTGGTTACCGATTTGGAGAATAACTGCATTTTAAAGGTCGAGGAACGGCGCTCAGGCACCGTTCTTCTCGATGGCTGAATTCAAAGTCTCAATGTGTTTCGCATCACAGATGGAAAAAAGACATTAAGAGCTCTCTCTGCTTTCCT